CAGCAGACTTGCCCAGTGCAGTATGACATCTAATTTCTTGACTGCTGCTTCCTGGGTGTTGACTGTGGATCCAAGTAAAATGAAACCCTTGACAACCTAAATCTTTTCTCCATTTATTGTAATGCTGCTGTTGATCAGTTGTGAGGATTTTTGTTTTCTTTATGTTGAGGTGTGATCCATACTGCAGACTGTAGTCTTCAATCTTCATCAGTAAGTGCTTCAAGTTATCTTCACTTTCAGCAAGCAAGGTTGTATCACCTGCATATCGCAAGTTGTTAATCAGTCTTCCTCCAATGCTGCTGCCACATTGTTCTCCATATAGTGCAGCTTCTTGTATTACTTGCTCAGTGTACAGATTGAATAAGCATGGTAAAAGGCTAAAATCCTGACGCACACCTTTCCTGATTTTAAACCATGCAGTATCCTCTTGTTCTGTTGCAATGACTGGCTCTTGGTCTATATATAGGTTCTTCATGAATACAATAAAGGTTTCTGGAATTCCTATTCTTAACAATGTTATCCATAATTTATTAAGATCCACACAGTGAATGCCTTTGCATAGTCAGTAAAACAGAAGTAACATCTTTCTGATATTTTTTGCTTTCAGCCAAGATCCATCTGATATCAGCAATGACATCCCTCATTCCATGTCCTATTCTGTATCTAGATTGCATTTCTGGAAATTCCCTGTCAGTATACTTCTGCAGCCATTTTTAAATTATGTTCAGCTCATTAATACCTAGGACATCATTCTTTATGCATTCCATTTTATTTTTGACGAATTCCAATTTTTCTAGATTCATACTTTGTACATTCTTCTTCCAGTCATTCATCCATGCTTACAGCTGTGTCTTTTCATTTCAAGTCATGCCACATCAGCAAATGAAGGTCTCAGAAGGTTTACTTCTTCCATATCATTAAGGTCCACTCTTCTTTGAGGAGACAGCTCTTCCTCAGTCATATTTTGAGTGCCTTCCAACCTGAGGGACTTATCTTTGGCACTGTATCAGACAATGTTCTGCTATTCATAAGGATTTCACTTGCCAAGTTTTTCATAAGTGTATCTCTACATCTTCTTTTCTACTCTGTCTTAGTCTGGAAGCTCTGCTGAAACTTGTCCACCCTGGGTAACCCTGGTGGTATTTGAAATTCTGCTGGTGTAACTTTTAGCATCACAGCTATTTGCAAGCCACCACAGTACGACTGACAGATGAGTCCTTTTTGATTGCATCATATTAATCATATGACTCCAAAGTTAGAACTATGCACTAAGGTGTTGTCTAGTTTTATCTCTGCCATTTCTACCTTGTTTCTTTTTCCTCTATAGGTAATTATTTATTAATTTTTGGTCTAATCTTATATCTTTATGGAATATAAGTAAATATATATGTATGAATTTATATTTTTCCTTCACTATAAACACTGCTCTGCCTCTTGCTTTTAACTCACTGTATTGTGGAAATCCATATATGTGGATCATTTGTGCCTGCCCTTTTTTTTTTTTTAACATCTGAATAATATTTTTTTATGTTGATACATCACTTTTAGTTAACCAGTTGTTCAACTGATGAAAATTTTAGTTGTTTCATTCTTTTGTTCTTACAGATAATGCTACAATTAATAGATTTATTAATATATTACTTCAGATATTGCCAATGGATTGTTGAGATTGACTCCTACAAGTGTGTTTGGTGGGTGAAAGGCTAAATGCATCTGTAATATTGCTTGCTGTTGTTATTGTTAGGGGCTGTCAAATCACTTCTGACTCATAGTGACCCTTTGTATACCAGAATGCAACAAACAGCCTTGTCCTGTGTCATCCTCATAGTTGTTACTGCTTGAGCTCATTGTTCAAGCCACAATGTCTGTCCATCTTGTTGAGGGTCTTCTTTTTCCCTGATTCTCCACTTTTCCCAGCATAATGTCCTTCCACAGCATGTACCAAATTACCCTCCACAGGCATTTATTGTAATGCATTTTCACCAGCAGTGTACAAGAGTATCTGTTTTCCCATAACCAATCTAATGGAGTATGTGCCCAGTTTTTGGATTTTTGCCTATCTGATCAATTCGAAATTTTATCTTGGAGAAACATTAGTTTACATTTTTCTTATTATGATCATCTGTTACATACTTTGTCCTCATATCAGTGAACACACAGGCTGTTTGCCAAGAACCAATATATCTTAGCATATTTTTAGAATATTGCATTTGTTGAAATATTTAATTACCGTCTTGGAGGTGCCTATAACCAATTCTAATCCAGGACCTATAAAGTACGTGTAGGAAGTGCCTTCCTGTTACAAGTCTCTCTAGAACAGAAGATAGCTTTGAAAATTTTCAGTAGTATATCATTAAAGAAATTTCAAATAACATGTCATTAGAAAAGGTAAAGTTTTTTAAGTATAAGGATTGAGACACATTAAGTTTTGCTATACAGAATTAAAATAAAGTATTAGTTTCTAGGAAAAAATATCATTTTAATATATTTAGCTACTTCTTATTCATTACTCATAAAAATGTTTTCAGAAAGGAATATGGCATCCTTTATTAAAATTCAAAATACACATTTCCTTCTATCAAATTTCATTTCTTGGAAACTATCCCATAAAAATAAAAACACCGGTATGTAAAGACATACTCTTTTTAAAGAATATCACATAACTGTGACATTGACTTTTTTTCTTCACTCTTTCACTTACACGGACCCTTATAAGTGGGCACATATTCCATTAGACTGGTTATGGGAAAACAAATACTCTCATACACTGCTGATGAAAATGCATTACAATAAATGCCTGTGCAGAGTAATTTGGAACTCCCTCCAGAAGGACATCATGCTGGGAGAAGTAGAGGATCAGGGCAAAAGAAGACCCTCAGCAAGATGGACTTACGATTTTATTGGGCCCACTTGGGTGATCCAACATAATCTCCCTATCTCAAGGTCAGCTGGTTAGCAACCTTAATTTCATTTTTAACCTTAATTCCAGATGTTTACTGGATTTTGTTTGTATCTAAAAACTAGACACAAAGTTAATGCTCACTAAATACAGAAATCACTCAATACATTATGGTATGTTCATAGTGTGTGGTATTACGTAGCCATTTAAAATAAAATTATGAATTAGCGTTATACCAGATGAATAGAAAGGATTTCTCTAAGGATTTTGTTGAAAAAAGGAGATGAGAATGGTGTATATGATACAGTCCCATTCTTGTGAAAACAACAATGACAAAAATAACCCTTAAATATGTACAAATATGTATATGTGTGTGTGAGTGTGTGTCTCTGTGTGTATATGATTGTGTGCCTATAAAGCAAAATATGTGATGGATGCTATAGATTCTTTACTTTTTTTTAAAAACAAATTTAAATTTTTTATTGTGATTTGGGTGAAATTTTACAAAGCAGATTCATTTTACATTCAACAATTCATACACATTTTGTTTCGTGATATTGATTACAATCCCCACAATGTAACAGCTCTCCTTGCTTTCTTCCTATGGTTACTCTTTCCTTACAGCCTTCTTGCCAATACACTCCTGCTTTCTCTAGCTGCTGCTGCTGCTGCTGGGTTTTTTTTTTTCAGAACTTTTTTTTTTTGTCTGCTAACCCTATACGTGGTCATGGGAACATTAACCCTGCCTAGACATACCTGATAGTTCAGCCTGTTTTACTCTCTATCCACCTGTAGATCAATGCTTGCCATCACTGACAATGCAGTACTGTATGTGCAGAAGGGTTCATCTTTGTTGTCTGTACCTCCTATGTACCTCTCTCTGTCTTCCTCTTCCTCAGTGCCACCATGTTGATGTTTGGTACATTGCCCTTCCCTTCACTTGTCAACACTTGTCTGCCTATCTAGCAGTGTTCCCTCCTCTCTATTCCCACCCCTGGTAACCAACAAAGAAAGTTCTCTTCCATATGTAAACCTTTCCTTGACTTTTTATAATAATGAACTAATACAATATTTGTCCTTCTGTGATTGATTTATTTCACTCAGCATAATTTCCTCCAAGTGCATCCATGTTATATGGTTTTTTGCAGACTCTACATTATTCTTTAGTGTTGCATAGTATTCCATTGTGTGTATGTACCATAGTTTGGTTATCCGTCAACCTAGGTTGATGGGAACCTAGGTTATTTCCAACTTTTTGCTATAGTAAATAGTGCTATGATGAACATGGGTTTGCATATATCTGTTCTTGTCTTGGCTCTCACTTCTTTATGATATATACCAACTAATGGGATCACTCCATCCCATTAGTAGGGAAGGGACCATTTCCTGGAGAAAGATGTCATGCTTAGTAAGGTGGAGGGTCAATAAAAGAGGGAAAGGCCCTCGACAAGATGGTTAGACACAGTGGCTGCGGCAGTGGGCTCAAGTATAGCAGGGATCATGGAGCTGGCATGGGACCGGGCAGTGCTTTGTTCTCCTATGCATGGGGTTGCTATGAGTCAGAGACAACTTGATGGCACCTAACAACAGCAATGAGATCACTTTATCAAATGGTATTTTTAATTCTAACTTTTTAAGGAATTGCCATGCTGCTTTCCACAGTAATTATATCATTTTACAGTCCCACCAGCAGTATGTGAGAGTCCCAATCTCTCTATTAAGGCCGGAGGCCAAGGTAGATGGGCCTGGGGCTAGGGGCTGCTTTTTTCTTTGGGTAGCTTTTTATTAAGGCCAGGACCTGAGGTAGCACATAAAAATTTAATTTTTAGAAGGAGAGATTGTTTACTTTTGAGAGGTATGGGAAACAAAAACAAAAAAGGACATAGAAAAGGATAAACAATTTCATTTATGTAAAATTATATGTAGTTGTTGGTTATATGCTTAAAGATGTTAAAACAATTTTATAAAACAGCACCCATTTTTAAAATGTTGTACAGTATATAAATGTAAAGGAGGAAAAATATCTTAGAAACCACAGACTCTTGAGTTTTGATTATTAAGTAAGCATATGTGTAACTTTGGTTTATTTTTGTTTCTATAGTTATTCCACTGACTGAAGATGTTTTAGTAACATTAGGAAAAGAAAAGGTAAGTCATTTAATTAATTGATAGTGACTCTAAATAATTTATAATTGAAATAGTTATGGTAAATTAATGATAAGAACTACAGTGAAATCTCTTTAAAACCATATGAAGTTTTAAATTTCAATTTTAATTATTGTTATTGAGCAGAGTATTTTACTTTAATTTTGAACTTTTAATCAGTTGATAGGATTGATATTTAATATACAAACCATACTCTTACAACTAATTTTCATCTTATTAAACTCTGTTCATAACAAACACATAGAGTTAATCATAGCTAAATGGCTAAACACATATGTATCATCTCAAAACTTAACACTAATGTTAGTAATGGCAGTTTCTTAAAACTGTAAATCAATAAGGTCAAAGTGTAAGAAAGAGGACAAACACAAACAAGAATTATAACAAGTTTGTGGAGTGTGAAAGGAGGTAAGTATATGTACCTTGAGACAGAAACAGTGATGAAAAGAGATACTATATCCTACACAATTGAAGACAATTTATTGTTTAAATGTGGATAAAAGAGACAAGGAAAATCCTTTAAAGTAAGAATGCAGAGTTATAAAACCTCTCCAGGTCTCTTTTATCATCAGGAAACTCTTTACTCACATACTCGAGGAGCAAACGTTTATTATTTGTAGACATTGAATTCAATGTGAAAATTTGAACTCAGGGACACCAGGTTGGGAGTTTAGTAGGGGCATGGAGGCCTATGACAAGAAAGTTTATGTAATATTTTCATTTTGAGTTGTAGTACTATGGTCAGTCACTTCTTCCCTATCTCCAGAGGTACAGGCTGGTGTAAATACATACTCAAATATTATTGTTAAGTGCCATCGATTTAGCAACAGAATGAAATATTGCCAGGACCAGCTTCATCCTCACAGTCTTTGCTGTGCTTGACTCCATTGTTACAGCCGGTCTGCCAGTACCTCTCATTGAAGGTCTTCCCTTTATTCACTGACCTCTACTTTACCAAGCATGATATCTTTCTCCAAGGAGTGGTTCATTCTGAAATGACCAAAATATGTGAAACGAAGTTTGGCTATTTTCACTTCTAAGGAGCATTCCAGCTTCACTTCTTCCAGGACAGATTTAATCGTTCTTCTAGCGATCCATGGTATTTTCAGTATTCTTTGCCAGTATCCCAGTTCAAATGCATCAGTTTTTCTTTGGTCTTCCTTATTTGTTTTTCAGCTTTCACATGCATATGAGACTGTTGAAAATACCATGGCTTGTGTTAGGCACATTTGAGTCTTCAAAGTGACTTCTTTGCTCTTCAACACTTAAAGAGGTCCTTTGCACCAGATTTGCCCAGTGCAATATATCTTCTTACCTTGAATGCTGCTTCCATAGGTTTTGATTATGGATCCAAGTAAATCGAAATCTTTGACAACTTTGCTCTTTTCTCCATTTACTGTGATGCTATTTATTGGTCCAGTTGTGAGGATTTTTATTTTCTTTATGTTGAGGTATAATCTGTACTGAAGACTGCTGTCTTAGATCTTCATCAGTAAGTGCTTCAAGTCATCTTCACTTTCAGCAAATGTTGTGTCATATGCATATCGCAGATTGTTAATGACTCTTCCTTCAATCCTGATGTTGTGTTCTTCATATAGTGCAGCTTCTTGGATTATTTGCTCAACCTACACATTGAATAAGCATGGTGAAAGAATTTAACCCTGGCACACACCCTTTCTGATTTTAAATCATGCAGCATCCCCTTGTTCTGTTCGAACCGCAGCTTCTTGTTCTCATGAGAACAATTAAGTGTTATAGAATTCTCTTTCTTCACAACATTATCCATAATTTGTTATAATCCACACAGTTGAATGCCTTTGCTTAGTCAATAAAACACAGGAAAATACCTTTCTGGTATTCTTTGCTTTCAGCCAAGATCCATCTGACATCAGCAATGATATCCCTCATCTCAAGTCCTCTTCTGAATCCATCTTGAATTTCTGGAAGTTCCTTGTCAATATACTGTTACAACCGTTTTTGAATTCAGCAAAATTTTACTTGCATGTGATATTAATGATATTATTAGATAATTTCCATATTCTTTTGGATCACCTTTCTTTGGGATGGGCATAAATATGGGTCTCTTCTAGTTGATTGGTTAGGTAGCTGTCTTCCAAATTTCTTGGCATAAAGAAATAAGTGCCTCCAGCACTGTATCCATTTGTTGAAATATCTTAATGGGTATTCCCTGAATTCCTGGAGACTTGTTTTTCACTAATTCCTTTAGTGCATCTTTGACTTCCTTCTTCAGTACCATTGTTTTTGATCATATGCTACTTCCTGAAATGGTTGAATGTCAACCAATTTTTTATGGTACAGTGACTCTGTGTATGACTTCTGTCTTTTTTTCCACATCATTCAGTATTTTGCCCAAAGCATCCTTCAGTATGGAAAGTTGAGTATTGAATTCTTTCTTCAGTTCCTTAAGGTTGAGAAATGCCAAGTGTGTTTTTTCCTTTTGGTATTTTAATTCCAGGTTGTTAGGCCAAAGTAAACCCAAGCCACCAACATTTCAGTTGGCAGCTTCCTCCAGGTGTCAGGCCCTGTTGAGACAGCCTGATAAGACAACCGAGGTGGCAGAACCCACCCAGGCTGGAAAGTCCCACATGATGACAAACTTCCTCCTGTGAAGCCCCCTCATGGTAATTAGGTGCAGACCCACGCCAACAGCTAATTGGACCCCGCCATTTCCTTAGTGTCCCCAATTAGGTCCTCTCTGTGTCTGTAAGAATCTATCCCCCCTGCCCGGGGTGCGACATCTCTGGCCTTGATGCCAGGGCACGAGAACCTCGCCCGGGAGTGCTAATAAACTGCTTCTCTGAAACAACACCGTGTCCTGGTGTCCCGGCAGCCCAGCAGTACACAGGTCTTTGTGTATTTCATTATAATACTTTACTCTGTCTTCTTGAGCCACACTTTGAAATCTTCTTTTCAGCTGTTTTATTTCATCTCTTCCATTTACTTTAGCTATTGTACGTTTAAGAGTATGTTCCGAGTTTCTTTTGACATGCATTTTGGCCTTTCCTTTCAAAAGGTCTTTTTAATGACCTTTTGGTTTCTTCATGTATGATGTTCTTGATGTCATCCCATAACTAATAGGGGGTAAATAATCTTTTCTGGAGAAAGTACATGAGAGAAAAAGCTATAATTATTAATGTTTGGGGGTCCCCTTTGAGAAAGCTAAGTGGCCACACATCCGTAAGGCCCCTTTGTAAACCTAGAGTTTTCAGTAAGCTTTTATTTTTTTTTAATTTTTATTGTGATTTGGGTGAAAGTTTACAGAGCAAATTCATTTTCCATACAGCAGTTCACATACACTTTGTCTCAAGACATTGACTACAGTTTCCCACACTGCAACAGCTCTCTTCCCACTTCCTCCCCATAGTTACCTCTTCTCTGTGTCCTTCCCTCCCATGCGGTTCTGCCCCTTGAGCTATCTCTCTGTGCATACACAGTGAGTTTTCAGTAAGTTTTTGAGTTTTAAATATACATGGCCAGCCAAAGAACACAAGAAATTTGAGAAATTTTTCCAAATGGAAAGGGAGAAAACCGTAATAATTGAACAAAGTCTTAAGGCTAGAAATAGAGCCAATTCGGGGAACAAAAGAAAATTTAAAAAATAATAATGTCTTCACAATAATAAGAAAAAAAATTGAATCCACAAAACAGCAGACTGCCCATAGAAAAAAGACCACTTGATGAGGCAGTCTGATTCTATCAGATTTGCAGCTACGGAAGCACTATGGGGGCAGTTCTACTCTGATGCATAGGGTCATTATAAGTTGGAATCAACTTGATGACAGTGGTTATGTGTTTGGTGTTATACATACAGTTCAGTGTCATTAGTTACATTTTCCACATTGTGGCAACATTCTCATTATTTCTGTTCTGGTTGTTCTATTTCTATTATTCTTGCTTCTCTGCCAGCCCCTACTCCCTGCCACTCTTTCCATCTTTGCTTTAGGGTAAATGTTGATCATAAATCTCATATAGTTGATTGTTTTCATTTGTTTTTTAGTTAAAAGGAGCACAGTACTCACTGGTGATATTGTTTATTTTGTGAGCCAGTTATTATTCATATGAAACATGACCTCTTGGGGTAGTTTCAGTTCAGAGGTTAAAGACTCTCTCAGGGTGATAGTCTCTGTGGTTCCCCCAGTCTCTGTTGATTCAGGAAGTCTGGCCTTTTTCTAAGAGTTTGAGTTTTGTTCCACAGCTTTCTCCCATTTGATCTGGCACTATTTATTGTGGACCTACTCAGAACAGTCAGTAATGGCAGCTGAGCACCATCTAATTCTTCTGGTCTCTGTATAGGTGAGGCCATGGTCCATGTAGACATCTGGTCCTGTAGACTAGTTTCTTTTTTGAATCTTTGGTTTTCTTCTTTTTCTTTTGCTCCAAATGAGTGCAGGCCAATAGTTGTATTTTAGGTGGCCACTTACAAGCTTTTAATACCCCAGAGGCTACTAGCTGAACTAGAATGTACTGCATAAACTTTATAGACTATGGTGTGTCAGTTGATTAAGATGTCCATGATTCTGTATTCCTAAACCTTCAAACCCAGTAAACCAATCCTGCAAGGTGTTTATTAAAGCTGTTATTTTTTATTAAAGAAGTACTTAGAGAATAAGAAAGAGTCCTTAGGAATGAAAATGTGATTGCTGAAATAAGGAAAAAAAAAGTAATTATAGCCATATACATCTTCTAGGGGATCTCTGGTGGCATAGTGCCTAAGGCATTTGACTGCTAACCAGAAGGCTGGAGGTTCAAACCCACCAGCCACTCCTTGGAAGGAAGATTGGGCAGTCTACTTCTGTAGTGATAATGCCTCGTAAACCCAGGAAGGGGTCGCTATGAGTCGGATTCAACTCGATGGCAGTGAGTTTGGCTTTTTTGGTTTTTGACATCTTCTAGAAAGTAGATCAGAAAGGATAATTGGAAAAATAGAAGATATGTTAAGGAAATGACAGTATAAACCTAGA